GTTTTTATCAATATATACTGCTAGTTCCCCTCCCTTTACTTGCTTGGTACAAGCTCAAGAAGGCATGTAGGCCGTTGGCTATATATCACCACATCTTAGAATCCATTTGGTTGGCTAGAATCAGACTTGGAAGGGCCCATTCCCATTCCAAGTGTTTGGTTGGGCAGATTGAGAATCCCATTCCCATTCCTGGTGGAATGGCATCCTCCCATTTGAGGGAATGGTGACTCCCTCCCCCTCCCTTTGGAATGAAATCCCATTCCAGCTTATTCAAATTCCCATTCACATTCCTTTAAACACCAAAGAGACTATGAAATAGACCATTCCGATGCTGATCCTGATAGTGAACCAAATGGACCCTTAATGTATTGCTCTTAATCAATTGCATCACCAACACAGTTTTCTGTTATGCCAGAAACATCAATCCCTAGTGGATAAAAGTGCTATTGTGCTGAAGCCTGAAGATATTTATTTTTTTATCATTAACATAAAGCGTTTCATTAAAAAGCATCAACTGCTTGAAAAATGGCAGTAGGGCAACTTGAACAGGGAGCAGGCTACTGATCACCCAGTCAGTAATCTTACAAACATAGCAACAGCAGAGAGAAGGAAAAAAAGAAAGATAACACGACATAACATTATAACAATACAGCTTACAATAGAGCACCTGGCCCTGAACAACCCCAAACTAGACAATCCCTACCAACCCCTGTTCTGGCAAAGAGTCAGCCTGCACATTAGCGCTTCTAGGTACCCAATTGAACGAGGCATTCAGGGAGGCACCTAACTTGCCAAGTAGACCAATTGAACTGGATTTGGTCCAATCCAATCCATCTACTCCAATGAATATTTTGGACCGGTCCGGTTCAATGTCTGGACTGTTCGCTCTGATCAAATTCATATTTATTTTGATTGATTCCAACTCAAACCCGGTCCATTGACACCTATGTTCTTATCTTCTATCAATGGATCAGATATTGGCTCAATCCAATATAAATTCATTACGGATGAACCAGGTCCAATCCATCCAAATTCAACGTCTCATTGGTCTGTCCAATCCGGCCAAATTGATTGACTTGAATGGTCCAAAATACCCCTATTGCCAAGGAACTTGAACACTTGCCCCCCATCCAGCTTATGACTACTTGACAGTCACCTTTCACTTGCACATTGCTCAAATCCTGCATCTTCAGTAATTTGAGGCCTTCAATCAATGAGGGGATTCCCATGACCAACCGGACCTGAATAGCTGAGAATAACATTGCCCACATGGTCTAGAATTCCACACCCCAGAAGCCCCTGGGTTTACAAGACAACATCCATCAAAGTTTAATTGGCCACCCCTCCTGCACAAGGGGACCACTCATCCGTTGTTCTTCGTGCTTAGAAATCATCAACCACCTGCTGACTACCCTCCTAGTAGGTTATTTACTTATTTAGTAAAACTCCTTTAAACCACAGCCCAGTGAGCAGCCCTTAATCTTGTCAAACCAAAAACCTCCTCTACATCCCTACTTTTTTCTTCAAAAACTATTGCATTTCTTTCACAACACAGGCCCATGCATACATTGCCAAAACCTATTGTCTAGTGCTGCTGTCCATCACCACTACTTTGAACAAGTTAGCCACTTCAGCTGGTTCAGTCCACAGTTTTCCAAACAAACAGAAAGCTAGCTGCCACATTCTAGAGGCATAGAAGCTATGTAAGAGATGATTGGCATTCTCCCCACTCTTCATACAGAGGACACACACACACACATGAGGAGAGAGAGTACAGAAGTTCCATTTTCTTTGGAACCCTTCACAGGTATTTGGTTAACACAGCCTCCCAACACCTCTAACACAGGAAACGGTTGAATCTCACTAGTTGGATAGGTCTTAAAAAAGGAGGCACAGGTAAAGTTCCCTAAGGTAATGGGTATCCAAATTCTCTCATCGACCGTTGTTTGGCATAGACTTTTTGTATAGATGTTCCTGATTGGCATAGATTAACTTCCTAAAGATTCAACAGGGGAATCGGTTCGTTTGTTTCATAATCACTCGAGGGTCTTCTCAATCCCAAGTCCCACACCAGTGACCTGTTCATTTTCTAGAGAAAGTTTGACATTTGACAGAAAGGAAGATTCCCCCACCAAGTATTCTCCCAAAACTTCATCCTTTGTCCAGAAACCACATCATATCATATGAAGTTCATATGTAGGTAGGAAGTAAAGCCTGAAATGCTTTCCAAGGGCTTCGCATAGCTGTACCCCAAGGTGGTCCAAAGTCCCACTCATTCGGGTGCACGCCATAGATGACTTTTATTACTTTTATTACTAAATGCTTTCCAAGGGCGTGCACTCATTCGGGTGCACGCCCTTTCTGTCAAATGTCAATCTCTCTTGGGAAACTCCAAACCACTTCCCCAACAGATTCAATTTCTTTTCCTGGATTCTACCTATTGCTAGTCCACCCAACTCTTTTCGCTGGCACACCTCTTCCGAATTCAGGAAATGACCATTTTTATTCTCCACTGGATCCCACAAGAAATCCCTGATGATTTTTTCAATCCTCTTCACCACTCACTGGAGGTTCAAAATGGACAAAAAGTACACTGGCATATTTAATTAGAATAACTCTCCCTCCTTTAAAAATATAATTCTTTTTCCACCAGACCAGCCTCTTAACAAACCTTTCAATGATGCCCTCTGAAAAACTCACATCTCTAGAATTGCCCCCCAATGAAAATCCCAAGTATCTAAGGCACTCTTGAATTTCACATCCCAAAACAATTTCAGCCTCCTCTAGGATGCCCCTCTCCAAACCCCACCAATCTACATTTCCCTAAATTAAATTTCAAACCTGTAACCCTCTCCCCTATCTCCAGAATCCACCTTAAAGCCCTCACATCTTGTATTCCCCTAAATTCTCCCAAAATCAAGGTGCCCTCCAAGGTTCAAAGTATCGATAGGATACGCATATTGGCCATATCGTATCGGTACTTAGAAACAGCCGAAACACTTTTTTTCAAGTTTTTTTTTCAAATTTTGGTTTTTTGGGAAGCTGAAAACATGTTTTTTATTATTAAAAAAATTGGGGTTCTGAAACACCTGGAAACAGGCATTTCAGACCGTATCTTTTTCAAAAGATACGATATGATACCCCGATACAGGGTGTATCATATCGATACTTTAAACCATGGTGCCATCCATGAACTACAAGTGGGAAAGTACTTAGTTTTCTATCCCCACTCTAAAACCTCAAAAGATATTTCTTTCACCAGTCCCTTTCAACAGTTTATTAAAAATTTCAGCCACTACGGTAAACAACATGCATGAAAAAAAGGGTGGTCTTCAAAACACCCCATAATCCACTTTATCCATCTTTGACCAAAGCCCATGTTCCCCATGACCCACTGGAGAAAACCCCAATCAACATGATCATATGCTTTTTCCAAGTCCAATTGAAACACAAATTCTTTCCTCCCTGACTTTCTATAGTTCTCCACTGCCACATTAGCAAATCAAAGTAGACCAAAATATGTCTAAGATAGTCCTACTTCCAGTCCTAGGCTCAGAGTAGAACCATGCTTTGCATCCAGATAAATCCAATAAAAATAGGTTATGTTTCTTGCCACTTTTTAAGAAGCACTAAATGTAGAAATATGCAATGCCATATCCCAATTATTATAACCCTCATTGCTTCCTTGAGCAACCCTTTCTACTCAAGAAAGTTTGTAACCCATTCAGCTTCATCTTCAATCCCAACATAGAAACAATCATCCAAAAAAGATTTGAGGGATGTTAGCCAAATTGAATTCTATACCAATAAGCATGTGATCTATTTAAATTTGCAAAGGGCTAGAAAATTTGACACTTAATACCTTATTATGGAAGCAGAGATGCTCAGTGTACACATTAATGTAAAGTACCAATAGGTTCAAACATGCTAAGCTATACAAGTTACCAATATTACATTGGGCAACCAAGAGAAGAGCTGATTAGATGCATCTTTGGATAAAAGCAGTATATTTAGCTACCTCCTTTGGAGATCATCATAAAAACATCAACAGGGTATTCTCTTCACAACCAGAAACGGTAGCCACACAATGAGACCAACCACCTTAAACAATCACTAGAGGCTCAAATCCCGTATTCAGCAAGTGTCTTTTATCAAAATGGAAACCTTGTGTTGCATGGAAATAGACATGTCCAGGAGCCTCACTCAGCAAGATGAAGAAAAAAGGACTTGGTAATATGTCTACAAACAAGTATAACCCACAAAATAATTCGTTGAACTTTAACATCATTAACCTATAGAAGCAGTTTTAGAAAGGTTATCATTGTTGTTTTTGCTTAATATAACGTTTTGTAGGGAAAATGACATTTAATCTGTACATTAACTGTTCACTTATGTCAAATAAGTAATGAGAGAGAAATATGCCACATAGAAGTGTCCATCAAGAATCAATTGAGTGTTGGAACTTGGAACTCGGCAAATGTCCAACACAGACACTTCATGCATTTAGGAGAGGCTGTGCAACACTAGAAAACCTTAAAATAAATCCATATAGATTATAGCAAGTAAATTATCAATTTAACTGCTAACATGAATCAATAAAGCAATAAAATTCCAACCCAATGACTAAGACAACAATGAAAATTACCAGGGCCCATTTTCTAATTACTTAACTGAATTTATAAAATTCTACCCAAACAACTTCATTTTTTTTGGTACGCAAAGAACCCTAGGTGCCCACTGATAAAAAACCACAAAGCCGTAAGAAATTGTCAAACGCATAAAGGCTCATAAAACTCAGATTTGAGTCTCAAACATTCAGAATTGGTGAAAACAACTTCAGAACCGCAAATATGCTCAGTGATTGCAAAAGCCAAATGTCTAATCGAACTCAAACGTATAATTGTCCATATCAGCAATCCACTCAAAACCCAAATCTCTCACATTCAAGCTGCTAATCCAAACGAATAAAACTAAATCCAAAGTAAGCGAAAGTAAGCGAATTACTTGAGTCAAACGCGATCATCGTTTTCCACCCAAACATATAAAATGAAACAAGCGACATCACTGCCCAATATATCATATTCGCTAAATAGTTCACTTAACCAAAGATTAAACACAAAACTTGCCGATTATCATAATCGATAAGACACAACCAAGAAAATGCAGGTAATTGTCTGTCTCTAAAATGACGAGCAACGCTAAAAATTACTACTTTACTTGCTAAACAAATGCCCTTAATAACTAATAAGAAAGAAGAAAAAGGCACAAGTGATGGAGAGCAATCAAGATCAACCTAATCGATCTCTTGAAGAGATGGTGCAGCGGCGGCGGCGGCGACGTCTTCAGCTGTGAACTTGCCCTTGGCCTTATCGGCTGCGCGGCCCTTGGCCTTACGATCAAGAAGGGACTTGCGATCCTTGTCGAGCTTGAGCTTGGTAATGACGACCTTGGAGGGGTTGATGCCAACATTGACCGTGGATCCATTAACCTTCTCCCTTGTGATGCGCTCTATGTGGATGACCCATTTGCGACGGTAGACTTGAACCACCTTGCCCTCTCGTCCCTTGTAGGTTCCACGAACAACCTGCACCTCGTCGTCCTTCCTCACCGGCACCGACCGGACGTTGTACTTGTTCCTTAGGTCGGCAGATAGTGGGGCACTCATCAGCACCCGGCGCACACTAGAGGGGGCCGTGAAGTGCGCCTTTCGGCACTTGCGCCGGGAGCTGGAGACCCGTGGATTGTACTTCATGGCTGATCTTACCAGGAATGAATGCTGTGGAGAGAGGGATAGAATAGAGTGCAACACCTCTTTCTCTCTTCTCCCTTTTTAGGGTTCAATCGGCGCCAAAACTAACGAGATGCACACAAGTATGGGCGTAAGACGAGAAAAGCTAGGGTTTTGGTGTTTTGACTATAAAACCCTCCATTTGATGCCCAAAACCTCGGTATTTAAAGCGGTGCAACTTGGGCGGGTCCAACCCGAGTTTTTGCACGGGTTGGACCTATATTTTCTAGCTGCGGACCGGGCCTGAAATCTCGGGCTTAACTTAAGCTTGTAAAAATTTGCGCGGTCTTTCGGCTGCTTACCAGCCGGGAAGACCGAAAATCGGTATATTCCAGTTTGGCACGTAGAAGATCTCGTTGCCAAAAGATGGGGCACCGAAAAGACGCGGAAAGTCCATTTTAGGCTGATTTCGGGAAGCTCCAAATGAAACTTCCCTCATCTTTCGTGTTTTAATCTCGCGTGAAAATACCTAAAACGATGCACAGAAAGGTGCACGTCTGGCAAACGGTCTTCGGGCTACCCAGATCTTATGGCAAAAGGTCTTCGGGCTACCCAGATCTTATGTTAAAAAAGAGTGAATCCCACCCTAAAGATACAATATGATACACCTAATATGAGGCGTATTGTATCGAAATTTTGAACCTTGGGTTGAGGCCTCCGATAGCCCAAGTCGAACCGGAGCCTACCCAAAAAATATATAGTACATGCATATGTAAATTATATATATATATATATATATATATATTCTAGTTATGTATATAGCATATGTCATATGATACATTTGATAATGAAATTTGTATATATTTTCAATTAATTCTACTCTTAAATTAAGCAATAAAGCCCAACGAAAGACGACTATGTATATCTATCTATCTATCTATCTATCTATCTATCTATCTATCTATCTATCTATCTATATATATATAGAGAGAGAGAGAGAGCATCTTTTTTATGGATGTTTTATTTTGTCTCCGCCCCCAAAAGAAGCGAGCTACGTCTGAGCTAAGCTTGGAGATGGAAGTCTTCTTTCGTTTCTCGACGGCAAGCCCATGAGCTTATTATCCTAGGTHGGAACAAGTTGATAGGATCCCCTTTTTTACGTCCCCATGTCCCTCCCGTKTSGCGACATGGGGGCRCAAAAAGGAAAGAGAGGGATGGGGTTTCTCTCGCTTTTGGCATAGTGGGCCCTAGTGGGAGTATATAGGTGTAAAGTGGGTCGCAGGCGGCTCGCGTAAAGTGCGAGCTATGCCACTCGGTGAAAATTTTAGGGGTCGGCCCAGCACAACCCACAGCCCAGGCTTGTGTGGGCCGGGCTGGCCCGTGGGCCAAGCCTTGGCCCAAGTCGGGCCATGGACGGGGGCCAAAGTTATTTTTGCCTATTTATTTAAAAAATTGAAAAAGAAACTTAAAAATTTAATTTTATATCAATTTTGATGTATACAATAATTAAATAAATTAGTATAATAAAATTGAAAAAAAAATTGTTTATTTTATTAATATATTACATACTATATATTATTATATAATTATAATTTATATAATATATTATATATTATAGATAAATATATAAAATATATAAGTATTATGTGTGTATATATATAGTATATATGGGCCATGTTGCGGGCTGTGCTGGGCCGGGCCGACCCGTGGGCTGTTGTACCGGGCCACGGGCAGCACGACACAATTGCTAATATATATACTACTTATAAAAGTGTGAATGAGGAGGTATTGGCTTCTTGACATTTTCTTTACTGAAATGTCCCTTCTCTTGAAATTATTTCATCTCCATTGAAAGGGCAGAAAATGTAATTAAAAGAGTACCATTAAGTACATTCAATTACCTCTTATTAAGTCTCACATTTAAGTCATTAAATAAATCACATTCTCTTTCATTGAATCCAACATTTATACTTTTGCTTATCATCATTAAATTCCACTAATAAATCCATACTCAATAATTATTAATAGAATGAAATTTTATACATTTTAAAATAAACATAGAAATTAAATTATATTTTTCATCTTGGTGGTGGGTAAGTAGTTCAACCATTTGGGTCAACTAAATAATTTTATGATGTCATAAATAAATAATATAAATTTAAAAATATAAAAAATACTTGTATTTATCATCATTAAATTCCATTAATAAATCCTTACACAATAATTATTAATATAATGAAATTTTATATTTTTAAAATAAACCTAGAAATAAAATCATACTTTCCATCTAGGTCGTGGGTAAGCACTTCAACTGTTTGGGTCAAATGGATATTTTATAATGTCATAAATAATACAAATTTAGAAATATAAAAATACAAAAAATATAAAAAAAATGAAATTTAAAAAAATAGACATGTTTCTATTATTATACATTTGTTATATTAAAAAAACTATGATAAAATAGACATAATTTTATTAATTATGGACATTAAATATACAACTTAAAACCAATGGGAAATTAAACCATCTTCCTATCTAGGGGGTGGGTTAGTGGTACAACCTTTCAGGTCAAATAGGTTAGTCCATGATGTATAATTAAAAATATTTTTTTAAAATAAAATAGTACAAAAAAATATGAAACAATTTTGGGCACATCTATAATATTATATACTAATAATATAAACCAAAATAAGTATGATAAATAATAATTATTTTATCAATGGTATAAATGAAATGCAAAATTTAAAACCAGTTTGAAAATGAAATCATTCCATATCTAGATGGTAGGTAGGTCAATGATCTAATGCTTCGGGTCAAGTGGTTCAATCTATGATGTCATAACTAAGTAACGAATATTAAATACATACATACATACATACATACATACAAACACAAAGAAAAATATAAGCTTTGTATAAAACATTTTGATACAATTCTATTGTTATATATTCACCATATTAAACAAAAATAAATGTGAAAATAATAATTACTTTTATCAATGGTGAAAATGGAATACATGATTTAAAATCAATGCAAAATGGTTTTTCCATTCAAGTGGTGGGTTAGTGGTTAAACTATCAATGTCAACTGGATGCTATTATTAAATAATAAAATACATAAAATTCTATAAAATGTAGAAATTTATCGATAATTTTGAGTATATTCTATAATATTATATATTCATCGTAAAAAGTGTGATTAATGATAATTATTTTCATTAATGATAGAAAATGGGATAAAAAATAAAGAGAATTAATGTCTAACACATGGTCTGACTAACCATGTCAAATGGTTCAGTAATTTAATTAGCTAGGTCATCGTAGGCAAGTGGTTTGATAGGGATGAAAACAGATCAAATTAGATTTGAACTAGGGTATATTCAAATTTGATCTAATCAAAAGATTCAACCGAATCTCATAAATATTGATTTGAATCTAAATCCAACCAAGATGTCGGATATTCGAATTTGATATGATCCGATTTAATCTTTAAAAAAGTAATAAATTATTAAATGAAAAAGAAAATTATAATATATAAAAATACTATATATAAATAATTGATTTGACCACAATATTAAAAACTAATGTTCAAACAATATATTGGAATTGCATTTCCTCTTGGTAAATATGTAATTTTTATTATCTCATAAATTAAATAATAAAATAAAAATATAAAATTCTTATAAATTTTATTAAAAAAATTGAACATATATTAATATTATATATTCTTCATATTAAACAAAAATATGTTTGAAAAAAATAAGAATTATTGTTAGTAAAGATAGAAATGGCTAAAATATAAAGAAAAAATGAATTAATGTCTTGATCATAGTCTATTTTCCTGGTTAAATAAGTTAACGGTTCAACCAATAAGGTCCTTTGGTTACTGATTATTATCATCATCATCATCATTTGATACTGCCACGTGCAAAATTAAATGTGAAATAAGAATTACTTTTATTGATGATGAAAATGTAATATGTGATTTAAAATCAACCAAAAAAGAAAAAATGTTTTTTCCATCCAAGTAGTGGGTTAATGGTTCAACTATCCATGTCAAATAGATCAAAACATGATGTTATTATTATATAATAAAATACATAAAATTCTAGAAAATATAGAAATTTGTAGATAATTTTGGGTACATTCTATAATATTATATATTCATCATATAAAAAAGTGTGATTAATGATAATTATTTTCATTAATGATAGAAATGGGATAAAAATTAAGATAAAAAATAAAGAGTATTAATGTCTAACACATGACCCCACTAACCATGTCAAATGGTTCAATAATTTAATTAGCTAGGTCATTGTAGGCAAGTGGTTTGGTAGGGATGCAAATAGATCAAATTCGAATCAATGTATATTCAAATTCGATTTGATCCGAAGATCTAATTAGATCTCATAAATATTGATTCGAATCGGAATCTGATCAAGATGTTAGATATTTGAATCTAATACAATCTGGTTTAATTTAAAAATAATAATAAATTATTAAAAGGAAAAGAAAATATAATAGTTGAAATAAAGAAATACAAAAATATAAGTATTTTTTCAATTGTTTTCATCATATAAAAAGTTTATACAAAAATTCAATATAAATAAATAATAAAAACATATTATATATATATAATTGATTTGACCACAATATTAAAAACCAATATTCAAGCAATATATTGGAATTGCATTTTCTCTTGGTAAATAAGTAATTTTTATTATCTCATAAATTAAATAATAAAAAATAAAAATATAGATTTTTATAAAGTTTATAGATAATTTTAAACAAGCATTAATGTTATATATTCTTCATATTAAACAGAAATATGTTTGAAAAATAAGAATTATTATTTGTAAAGATAAAAATGGCTAAAATACAAAGAAAAATGAATTAATGTCTTAATCGTAGTCCATTCCTGATTAAATAGGTTAATGGTTCAACTAGTAAGGTCATTTGGTTACTGACTATTATCATCATTTGATATATATATATATATTCTTTCAAATCCAAACAACTTGTCCAAGCTTGACTAACCCGACCTGGCCTGACCCTTAGCCCAACTTCAATTGTGTTGTATTAAGCTCAAGTTGGCTTGGATTGACAAATTTGGGTTTAACCTGGAGTTGGGCCAGGCCTAAACCTAAGGTTTACACCATTAGGGTTGGACTTGGGTTGACATTCATCTTGACCCAACCTGCCCAAGTTACACTCCTAGATATTTATCGTATCCATTAGGCAATTAGTCTATTTTCTAAGACCTTCAATAACAATATAATGCGTAAGATAAAGCTTAGATTGAATGTCATTGGACAAATCCAATCTTTAATATCCTAACTAACCAAATTGGATTGGATTTTGTTTTAGATGTTAATTATAGTTTTTACATCTCATGCAAATAACTCTTTTTCCCTTCCCCCCAGGGGTTTCTATAATAAATTTTTCCTAGACTGGGTTGGGTTTTTTCTTTCCATAATAGCAGTAGTGAGGGTGGCTTCGATAACAGTGCCAACCATAGAAGCACTAGCACACATATTGGTGTTGTCATACTATGACCATATATCCTCAAATCTAAACATATTGGTAAAGGCAAAGGGATTTATAGGAATCGACCATTTTAAAAAAATTGTAGTAAAACCCTAAAAATGAAAATAATTGCATCTTACTCAGTCAATCGGTCCAAAATCCCAACTTGATTTCAATTGATAAAGCTTCTAAGCTTCCCAAGTTACTAACTTAAGATACTTGAGCAAGCCTTCTTATTGAAAATTAAATAAAGTTGAGAATTAAGGACTAGAGAGTATGAGATTAAGAAAGTATGCGAGTATATGAATATATGAGAGTAATTGAGTATATAAAAATATAAAAATTGGTGTGATGAGAATGAGGGAGGGTAAGAGTATTTATAGGAATTGGAATTAATTCAATTGACCAAAATGCCCTTAAAGTAGTCGTTTAATAGTTATTGGGAGAGGTATTTTGGCCTTTTAGAAAGTTTATTATCATTTCACCAAAATGCCCACCAAACTAGTTGTTATATAGTTGTTGGTGGGGCATTATTATCGTTTTTCCTCCCCCTAAAGCCAAAATACACAAATACCCCCTTCAAACTAGTTATTTATAACCATTGGGGGTATTTACGTAAACCCCTAAAAAAACAAAAAATAGCTATCGGAAACCCACCCAATGGCTATATTGTTGGTGGGCCAGTGCGGCCTGTAGTGGACTGACTTCATGTCATGCCATGCTGTGTTAAAGCTGTGTTGGGTCGGGTTGCGAGCCTTGAAACCTAAGCTCGTTATGTCTCGTTGGTATGGATCGGCCATGACACAACTTAATTGTTATAATGCTCGAGCCATGCCCGACATGTCCCACTTTACAACTTGATCCATTGACAAAAGAAAATGGTACTGCTACCTTTCTTTTCAACACATTGGTGAAAGGCTTCATCACTGGACACAAAACACAATTGGTTATGTTGTTGGTTTCATTGGGCTCAGTTTTGAAGTAGAATGCAAAACATTGTATTTTATATGCATTTGTACTATTTGTAATCTTTCCAAATTGAACCTTGATTCATGTCTTAAATTGGGATCAAAGCAACAGGATTAAAATATCGATGCTTATGGTATAGGTAAAAATACATTGATACAAAAGTTCTTTCAAAATTTTAAAATACTGGATGGAACCCTCTAATGGAGCCGGATCTCTTACGAAAAAAACTCCGTGCATGTAACATCCACATTGGAAATATCTCATATACATGTATGTTAAATTCATGAAGAGATTATGTTCAATATACGGCTGGATTCCCATTCTCGTAGAGTGTGTACAGAGTTTTTGCTTGTAAAGAATCTCATTGCCTATTTAATACTTAAATAAGGCATTTTTGAAAAAGAGAATTATGCGATACACGTTTAAGCAAAAAAGAGGGAAAAGAAAAAAAGAAAAATAGAACCACTACTTGAAAAAACTTAACAATCACCATTTGTGAGTCGATGGTACAAAGGCTGCAAAATTGAGATTCCCTTACAATAAAAATTGGAATTATACTTAGCATTCAAATAAGGCATCCTCACAAACGAGATCACAAGCTTCATCTTATGCACCAGATGGATACACCAAATCCTTGTAGCCTATAGAACTTTCAAACTTGAGTAAACTCACCAAGTCTTTTGCACTCCATCTCTAAAGACTTCTTTTTTTGGAATGTGTCTTTGAGATATTATAATACCTTGGCTCTCGAACTTCTCAACAAGATACCATTAAGTAAATCACAATAGTTAACAAACTGCACAATGGATGATGTAAGAACATGTACAACCTGATATCCTGATATATGACCAATGGCAAAAAACAGGGACATTTGGGTTTTATAAACAAGTTTGACATGGAGGAAATTTTACAATGCACCGAGTATAGACTATCGCATTCCATCCAAATATTACAGCCTCCTACCAGATTCCATTGCATTCAGAATTGGACTTGTATCCTGTATGCCCATTACACCCATCTCCCTATCATGTACAGGTTGGGTGTAAGCATTCTCAATCTCTGATGACCGGATGCTTAGATGATTGGTAGTGGTGTTGGAGGACTGTTGACCATTTCCTATCTCAGCTAACATCTGAAAATATGCATGAGGTCCCCATCCTGCATGTTTTACCATAATGAATTAAAAAAAAAATCAGAAAATCACAAAGAATGAACTGAACCAATGGTGCAAAGAAAAATAAATTTCTAGAAATGGGAACGAACATGAAATCAATTAAATATGATAGTTGCATCTAAAGACATCAGTACATTCTATAATGATTTAAGCTGTGCCAACTCAAAATGGAACCCCCCCCACCCCAACCATACGAGGCTTATAGCAATCCATAAAAGCCAACCATGAATCTATAGCTCTGCACATAGCTTGAGCACCTGGAACAAAAGTTCCCAATGATTAGTAGCTCTTCCCTAGGCAATATGAAAAACCTTCCTCTCCAAGTTGTTAGAAATTCATACATATTTTGAGTTCCAACATTATATTTTCTTGTAACAGTATCTTGACCCTTAACAACCTAAGTGCTTTGCAGGATTTTGAAGTAAGCCTACCCATCAACCTTGCCTTCCCAGCCCCTACATTATTGTCTAATCATATTTTACCACATTGCCCATATTTAGAAGAATCATCACATCGCATAGTTTTCAAAGTGCCAAGGTGAGGCTAGGCAATGGATTTTTTATTTTTTTTAATAAAAACCATGAATTCTAGGGTAATTCCCTAGGTTGCAATAACAAGCAACAACCATCTTTCACTAGTAATTGTCTATAATCCTGGTAAAAAAAGATGCATAAAGTTCCTTAAAACACGGGAATTCAACATATTCATGAAAAATATGGAAGAAGGAAAAGAAATTCCAGAAAATATAGGGTCTGAGCTCCTACTTTTACCCCTATTTTTTTTTCCAATATTTGTTGATTGGACAAAATTTTCTTATGAGACAGGTTTTGAATTCTTTGAGGTTTCAAGGCAGCATACATGTTGGTTGAACCCTAAAAGAAAATAGTAAAAAGTGGGGAAAAATTGGAGGTCTTCGTCTCCTTCTAAGAGAGTGATTGAAATTTGAAATATAAAAGATGTTATCGGGGGTAGATAGCTCTACCAAAGTGGGATACTTGATACAGCTTGTGTATATTGTGATTCATTCTTTTATCAATAAAGTTCAGTTACAGAATAGTGGAATATAAAGATTTAGACTCAGTAGAAATAATTTTGTGATGGAGATTTCAGGTAGAAAGGAAGAGAAGTATATAGCTGGTGAGACTGTATGATAGTAGCGCCAACTAAGGTTTCAACAATTAGAAATAAAAAAGAAAACTTAAGATAAGCATGAAGAATGCTTGATACAAAAGAGTAAGGTAATAGAGGAATAATAGGAAAACAGATAAAGAATTAGCAAAGGGACAGGGGATGGGGAACACACAACTTGATCACCAACTTTTGTTCATGAATCAACTATAATTTATAAATCATTTAAAATATAAACAAGAAACAACTCAAAAGTAGATTACAAATGATAAAGGCTTGAATATTGTCAGCAACTGATACCCAATTAGTAAAACAGTCCTAACTCCTAATCCATACCAGATTTATAGGAGTTTATTCTTGTTCTGGTAATCGAAAACGTATCTAATGACACCCCAAAAAAATTAAACCATGGTTCAAAGTATCGATATGATACACGTACCATTCTGGAGGGTCACCAAAACACCTATTTTTAGGCTTTTGGAAATTTTGATGTTTTAACTGTTAAATATAAGTATTATAAACTCCCTGTAAAAATATAGAACTAGAAAACTAAAAAAAGGTCTCATCCACCCGAAATGCTTGATACGTGTTTGGGTGTATCAATACTTTGAACTATCAGTCAAACATACAGGTTTTAGACCCAGCAATAGACCAGAAAACTTGATGTGATTACAACCCCCAAGTTCTCTGAGAACTAACTCTTCAAACTAATTATGACCTTTTAAACTAATTAAACCAAATTCATGGCAATAATGAAACAGACATCAAATTGGTTCAACACATAATAACCAAAACTACCAAAATGACATTGATCCAGGATGTTGCCAATTCTCCTATTCCCTTCTATAAATCTTCCTCTGGCAAATGATTCAAATCCTTTGATTTATTTTTTTTTTGTTTCACCTCATCGAGGTTTTACTTTTGAAGCTTCCAAAAAGGATCATAGTTGATAAACCAGGTAGGAGTGAGCATTCGGTTAAAAACCGAACCAAATAAAACAAAATTTTAAAAACTAAAATAAAAAGATGAAAACCAGACCGAAACCGAACTACAAGAAAACAGAAATAACCGAAACCAGAATTTTTGGTTTGGTTTTCGGTTATTTTGGTTAAAAACCGAATTTAATTAATTAATATATATAATATTATATTATAACCCATATTATGAAATTGAATTTCATTATAATACATTATATATAATATATTAATATATAACTACATAGCATATTATATATTATATGTTATAAATTGTATACTATATATTACATATTATATAATGAATTTCGGTTAATTTGGCTTTTTCGATTAACCGAATTTCTAACTCTGAAAACCGAAATTCCTAAAAACCGAACTAACCAAACCAAATTACCCAAAAACCGAAACCAAAATTTTCGGTTTGGTATTTTGGTTTTAACCAAATAATGCTCACCCCTAAAACCAGGAAACTTATGCTGCATCACATACAAGAACAAGACTAATTTTCATGGACTTCTTTTTGCTTACCAACTTGAATAGTTGGCTGATTTTTTGTTAATTTTTATACTTCTTAAAGCTTTGTTGCATGGAGTTTTCCAGATAGGTTCAATTAATTTAACATATAGGTTGGTTTTACCACATGTATTTTCATTGTTATACTATTATAGTGCAACGCCAACGCTTCAGTTGAGATAAAATTCTCATTCCAAGTGGTAACTGGTAAGAGAAGCAGAAATATGAACTAAAAAAGAAAAGGAACATACCATCTATGTCATACGGAGGTGGAAAGAACTGCAAATAACAAAATGAAGCTACAGTTGTGCCTGCATGGGGGGGGGGGGGGGGGGAGGAAACAAGTTCATTAGTTGATGAGTTGTGACAGAACAAATTAGTGTAGAAATGCAAACAAGAAACTTAAAGTTTGAAAATTTTCTGTTAGTTATAATAAATAATAGAGTTTGTACCTAAAAGACCTCCAGCAAATACATCTTGCCAGTGATGCCAATAGTCATCAACTCGGGAAACACCCACAAGAGCTGCAACAAGCAATGGAAGAAAGACTATGCAGAGCTTTGCAACGTGACCCCTGCGGTCAAATGCTCTGATCTTTCCTGAAATATACCATGAAAGAAAACAAAGGCCTGCAAAACACCCTGCATATGGATAGATAAAACCCAATTATAGTGAAGCCATAAGAATGAGGAAATGGTAGTCCCCATAATGTCATAAAAAGTATGTAATGAGAAAACCAAGAAAAACATGATAAATATCTTAAAGCATATACATTTCCTTGTGCTATCATCTGATTGTGCTACTTACAAGAAGTATGACCACTTGGAAAACTTTTATGCCCTTCCTTGATGACACTTTTATCCCCATGGCAAATAACATTTGACGTCACATTATCATACACCTGAACAGTGAACATGCAGCTTGTGAATATTATGAGATCTTAAGTACAAGTGCTGTTAACATAAATAAGCACATGCACACACATACAGACATATGTGTGTATATACTATGAAAATCAGGACTCACCCCCTTCCCATCAGGAAAACAACGCCAAAAGAAGTCTGGTCGAGGACGACCGACAGCATCTTTGATTGCATCCGTAATAACTCCAGTTATCAATACAGAAAATAAAAGGCCTGGGTTGCGTATGTAAACAACTTAGTACTATGCAAGCAGCTTTAACATGTAAACAACAGGAACCTATTACAGAAAGCCTAAAAAGATAGAAGAGTTACCCAATATGGCGTGGTGCAGATCGTATACATCCCTTCTGTAAAAGTAGTACACAAGAAAAATTGCAAAAGGCAATAATATTGCAATAACCTTTTACAAGAAAAAGTAGAAAAGTTAATTTTCTTGCATACATTAAACAAACTCAATTTCTAGAGGAAACAGTCTTTAGTATATGGTAATTGAGGCAATATCTTAAGACTTGCAAACATACTGGAACAGCCCAAAAGGGAACAGTATTGCTTTTCAATGGGTACTTCAGATCAGCCATCATCTCTGCTCCAACGAAGCGGTGAAATGGCTCTATAACATTCAATACTATTTCTATCACCACAAGAAGTAGAAGTATAACCCAGTCATGCCTATGCACTCTGGCCACTTTAACTCCATGGGATCTTATGGTGTGAGCTCCCAACTGAATATCTGGCATTGTTACCGACTATAAGACAAATGGAACAGTCAGTTAAGTGAAAATGAACCTTCATAACTTGAAGACAAAAGAAAAGGAAAGAAACATAAGAGAAAATTGAAACTGGATGGATAACATGAAACATGATATTCCATCCAGTTCCCAAGAAGAGAAAAAGTATGCACACATCCCATTAAAAGAACTTCATATTCTTGCAGTAATTGTTTAAGAAGAATGACTTCTACATTTTGCAGAAACTGTTTCAAAAGAACAATGAGCAGGGAAATTCACTGATCACCTTGAACTCAATAATTGACAAGCTGAACTGAGAAAGCTAACTTGCCAGGAACAAACACCAAAAACATATTTCAGACTCTTGTGCATACAACTGCATATATGCTACAAAAAATGCATTACAAACTCAACCAGTCATTCCATAGGCCATGGTAGTATGAAGGGCAGATCCTATATTAGAATCAAAGTAACCATCTGTAAAAGCAAGCATAAGGGTAAGATTATTCCTTATGATTGAAAATAATGTCTTTGACATTTATGTATGACTCCTCATAGAAGAAAATTCACATTAATGGGAAAAAGGAGACTGAAAAGAGAAACTTTATCTCCAAATCAGTGAGAAGTTAGAACTTATCTGGTAAATAGTTTTACAAGCCTAATGAGATTAAACTATATCATAATGGCTGAGGAAAAAGAGTCCTTTGATTCAGGGAGAATGAACATCAAAATAGTGGCAAGTAATGAGAAGTACGAAGTTCATATACCCAGACAAATTACTAATAAACAAAGTATTAGCATATAAGCTCATATATACCCAGACAAGTTACTAACAAACAGAAGATTACTATGTAAGATCATATATACCAAGACAAATTACTCAAGTTACTAACAAACAGAGGATTACTATGTAAGATCATGCTATTGATCATATAAGAACGAGAACAGGACGGCAGTAACTGAGGTAGGAATTAAGATCAGTTTCATCTGGTCAGGTGGCAATCATTGTAAATGGTCAGCAATATGAGCGTCTTAAATCTAGATTTAACTAAAACCACTTTGATAAGGAAACACCAAAGACCATGTAGCAACTAAGAGTTCTACAGCCTATGTCATCCCCAAACAATATCTAGCATAGAGAACCTAAAATTCTCAATTGACTGTAAAAGTTTACAAGACAATCACCTGTTTCTTTAAAAAGGAACACTTTAATCCATGCTCCCCTACACCCCAACCCCAAGAACATACTGATTACTTCAACTATAAGGTCGCATCTTAAGCCAGTAAGAGGAACCCCAGGAGGTAGACATATCAAGCACATAATTTACCTTAGTAAGATTAAATCATCAAATCCAAAAACAAATATGTAAGAGTCACAAGGGTCCGTCCAAATACTTAAAATGAACTTAATAATGAATAGTTCAGAATTTTAAGGACTTACAAGGAAATCAATAAGAAGTTCTCTCTACAATACTTATAGCAGACAAGAATTTGCAGGGTTCAGCATACCTGACTTCCCATAGAAGAACTAGTCCTCCGTTCGGTAAACCAATTCCGATGTTAATGATTCATCAGATCGTTCAACACAATACCAAAAAAAAAAGACTACTTAAAATAGCTGCATCTACTCGTTAACTTACAAGAATGATCAAACAACGAGCTATCTTTACATTACCTACCGCCTTTCTTAAATCAGACTCAAGAATCTTGTATAAAACTAAAGAAACAAAATTACGATACAACGCATAGGGTTTAAGCATACTGAGAGAAGCATTTCTAAATTATATAATAATACTTTTCCTCAACAACCACCAGCGCAGAAATTCATGAAATTGATCAATGAATGAGGAACAGACTTGTAGACTTTCAAAACGAAACCACTAACCATAGCCTGAAACTATTAATGGATTTTGGGCAAAATAAAGATGAAAAGTCGAACGTTCCAAGTCAACAAACTGACCTGGAAAAACCTTCAGAACTGAAAATTGTTCTAGAACCACAGCATAGCAGATAAAACTAGGGGGGGGGGGGGGAAGTAACCTTTTTCTGTTCATTTGAAAATTTGAATTTCTACAGCGCGGCCGAAAAACAAGGAAATTCCACCGGAATACCGGATCCGAGATCACGTCAGTACATATCTAACAGCGAGTCGGAGAGTGGTCAAAGGATGGTAGAGGAAGAGGCTTGTCAGTGAAAAAGGAGGGGGGAGGAAAGTAGTTATCAATTGATGGGCCTTGGTTTTAATTAATGTTAAATGAGTCCAAATAATTGAGTTCCAGAACTGGGAAGTGGGCCATGGGTCATGAATGAAGTGGAAAGTAGTTTCTGTATGGGCCATTGGAGCAGGTGACACTGTGAAAAAGAAATTGTTCGATTAGTGGGAGTAGTGAGTTGGACCCATTTGGCTCGAAACGAATAAGACCAGAGTGCCTCTTCGATGTCAAAGTGGCCAAATGGGTCAAGATCTTTAGGGCCCGAATAAAATAATGTGTCCGTTTGTGTTTGGGTGTCAAAACTCAAAATCACTCAAGATAATGAATAAAATAATGTATTATTGCAGCAAAATTATTAGGTTTTTTAAGCTAATAATGTATTGTTACTTTGAATTTTAAAAACTGGGCCTTGCTTAGAAGTATATATTAATGCATTCATTTGCAAGCAAAAGGAAGGTTTTTCTGGACAGGTGGTCTAGGTCTGATTGGTACATAAGGAAACAAATTAGTCTTACAGACCGAGCCCAAGTAACGCCTAGAAGCAAAAGAAGCGACTAATTTGAGATGTTGGGTTTGGTCGTTAGTTTTCTATGAGCACACTACAATTTTTAAATGGGAGGTGATTTGGGATTTTGGGTTTGGGCAGGTTCAGTTTTTTGGTTAGTACTTAGTAGGGGCAAAACCCATGCGAGGAGACCTCAGCCTTTTTATCTTTGTAGAATACTTTTGGTTTTGGGCCACCAATTGAAGGTATGCCACGCCACGTTTTACCAAAACGAACTGTGCCCAAATTTGTAACTTTTATTTTTCAAAAAAAAAAATGGTAGCTTTCTTTATTCATTAATATTAGAGTTTTCTAAGATGCTTCCTTTCCCGTCTCTTATGCTTTCCTTGTTGTTTGGGGAATATCTTTTTCGTTCTTTTTCACTGCCCTGTTTTCATTATGATAAAGCTGTCTATGGCTTGTTCCTATTTTAAATCAACTCTCAGTTTGGGGCGTAAAATCATTTTAACTTGTAGGTCAGGTTGTTCAGGACAAAATGGATGGATATGATGTATTCAGAGTTGTATGACACTTAGATAGTTAGATTAGAAAGAAAATTTTCTAGACAACTGAATGGAGCAAAGAAGTGGGTAATCAAGAAATAACATGTCTAAAAGATGAATGTGACAAAAGAACATATATACTAAGATGAATAAGTAGAAAGTAAAAAAGCTAAAAATTTTTTTGAATGAATCGAGGAATAATACTAATAGATGATAAAATAAGAGAAAATACACTAAACATGATTTGATCACGTGAATCTATTGCAAATTGAAGGAGATAAGGTTAAAGGGACAAGTGACGCGCTCAAGCATGCTACTAAAAAAGGATATGGGTCCAAGTAGTGAAAAATGTTTTAATCACTCATACTTTTAACCATGGGTATAGCATTAAACTGGTAAAATAGGATTCATATAATCAACTATATAGTTGGGATAAAGCTTGGATGATGATGATGGTCGAGTCGTCCAATTCAATCATTCAATCCGTTTAAATAAAAAAGTGAAAAGTAAAATTTAAAAATAATAAATAATTTATGTTACCTATAAGACTATTCTATCTATCAAAATAAATTTAGAATAATAAATATAATAGGTGTATAACACCTGTTAATGCGTGCATGAGGGGTAAGTTCAACCAGGTTAACATTTCCCAAGAATAAGACCATCCAAACACCGTTTTGGTTGTTTATATTCTATAAGAAGAAAAGAAAAACCGTTTTGGTTGTTGGTAACGCGCAAACGGACTATCTGTTCCGGTCCAAGTCCGAATTTCTAAGGGGCTTACCAATACCAACTGACCCAATCGGCACCTTCTGACCCTGGACCATGAACCAGATAATTACTGCATCAATTCGTCAACTTAGCTCCACCTCACTATAATGAAGCGGCACATGTTATGGCACAAATATTTTTAATTGTTGAGAATAGCTTTCAAATTGAACTCTTGGGCTGAAGTGTTCACAGAAGTAAGTATATGTGATTATCCCCAGTGTTGAAGGTGCTGTGATACAGGATATAGAACCTTTAACCCTTTAGGGTGTAGGGTATATTTAAGTAATTTAACAGGGAGTATTTAAGTAATTCAGTGATAAGTGAAAACCTTCTTTCATGGACAAGCAAGTAGGAAAGCAACCTGAGGAAAGAATACTACATAGTGCATACCCAATTTTTATTCCCTAACACAAGAATAATTATCCACCAACTCAACCCAGGTCGTAACTAACTTGGATACGGTAAGGTTAGGGTTTTCTTTTCTTTTTATAATTCTCTTTTTCTTCTAGTTCTTCTCCATGTTATTTATTTGAATTTTGAAGAACAAATTGGCAAGATTAGGTGACAAAGAATACATTAAACAATGTTATAGTAAATGTCCAGTTGTTCACATGAGATCCTGTGACCAATCCAGACCTCCATCTGATATGACCCACTGGATTGGGCACATGTCTAACAATTAATCAATGTCATATGCCCCACTTTTTACGGGCGTTTTACTCTTTTTCAGTTTTTACCACTGATGTTAGCCCTTCAGAGTTTTCATATACAAGGTCAAATGCGACTCTAAATACATCCTCACAACTAACAACTAACAAGGCTGTGATTCTTGTCTAACTCCAACCTTTTAGTCCAATATGCCAGCCCAACTTGGAGTTGGAGGTCTGGTTCAGGCTGACTGGCTGATCACAATCCAAATTGCAGGTTTGTCCCCTATGTCTTCCTCAGTTGATTTCTTGTAGCATGTTCATCACTTCAAGTTGCAAAGAAGTGACTTCCAAGTACAGATTTAAGGCCCGTTTGATTTGCGGGAATGGGTAATTCCGATTCCAACTGTTTGGTTGAGCGGAATTGAAATCCATTCCCATTCTTCCTGGAATAACATTCCCCCATATGAGGGAATGGTCATTCCCTGCCCCTCCTTTGGGAATGGAATCCCATTCTTGCTTATTCCAATTCCCATTTTCCTTCCTGTCTAAATCAAATAGACTATGGAAATAGACCATTCCAATTCCGATTTCAAAGGATTTTGATTCTGATTCCGATTCCGATTCTGGCTGTGAACCAAACAGACCCTAAGAAGTATTTGGTAGTTGCTTTAATTTCCTACCACGGATCTTCGTGGGAAGGGCTGTCTAACTCGCAAGTTGCCTTAGCTATTTGGTTGGTTATACATGTCCTAAGCATGCTACTCCTCTAATAGGCAATCTCTTCCAGCTGGTTTAAGCATCCTTCAGCTTCAGCTTCTTTAAGAATAAGAAGGATGCAACATCATACCCTAAACCCTGGTACTGTTTTCTATGTGAGTCTATGACATGGTTTCGTTGTGCTCTGGTGGTTGTGGTTTATTATGGCATTTCAAATTACCAAAAAAGATTACAAAAGAAAACTTTCCTTGAACCCTCTTTCTCAATTTGACAGGAAGCATGGCTTTGTATAGTTGGTAAGAAAATGCCAGTTTATAAAAACAAAAGATAAATCATCTACTGCAGGTATCAAGTAATGGGAAAAGAGATCAAGTTTCAGTTAAACAATGCAATTTCCCAAATAAATTTCAAGTGTTCAGACAAGTAACTAGTAAGATAACCATCTAATGTCTTAGAAATTTTGCTTTTCTGAGTCAATATTTTCTAACCATTCCAATGCCATAAATGAAAAGGAGAATTCTCCTTTTTTCACGGGTCCCTTCTCTGACGAACCAAACAAATCCAAAAGAAACTGAGCCATGTTTAATGTCAGTGAACAACATTAACACATGAATAGACAATGTTCCTGATAGTGATACTGACATTCCAATAATACTATTCAACAATTTGCCCAAAATTCTGTGCTTCCATTCTATTTTTGTTTGTGTCAAGTCAATTCCTAATTTCTTTCATTTATTCTCTTTATCCTGATTACCACAAAGAAAGAGGTACAATGATGGCACACATTAAGGCTCAGTTTGGAAGGAATACAAATGCAAATATGTAGACTGCAAAACCTTGTATTTTATATTATTTTGTACATATTTGTACTGTACATATTTGCATTTGTACTCTTTCCAAACTGAGCCAACTTGCAAATTTGAAATGCCTATTATTCTCTAGAATAGCTATTTCTTTTGTTTGGTTAATGGATTATAAAAAAGGTATTCACATCAGATCTGAATAACAACGACATTTTCCAAACTATCAGCCTACCCATACTGCAAGCATTGCATGGACTCCCCCCAATGGGATTATCTTGTCTCAGAGACATCTTTGATGATGAGTTCTTAATGTTCAAACCTATCTGTTCTTTTCTTACCCTTGTTTGAGATAAACTAGTATCTGTCATGCACTGCTAATTCACCTTTCCCTGTATAAAAACCTCCAGATGACAAAAGATGGTAGTCTACATTTATTTACCATTTAACATGGCATATGAATGGCAAAACACAAGATCCCACTTTTTAGCAACACATTTTCTTTGCACAAGTACCTAGATCCACATTTTCTCAGCTGGCCATCCATATCAATCAATATGCAGTGAATTCTGATTCCTGTGCCCATATCCATGCAACACTTCAGTATGCTTCTTCATACAGCCACAATCATCATCTTTAGACATTCAGGAGTGGCAGCATCATCTCTTCCCGACCTCTGTGTTTCTTAGAGCTTAATAATACATTAACTATCATATTAACATTGACAATGAAGGTAAATGATAATTGAAACTGGAGCATGACCACTTGAAACCAAACCAGGCACCAGAACTGAAAAAAGTTTGTTTTTATTTACAAGGGAAAACAGAAACATGTTTTGCGAAACCAACATTTACTTCTAAAAACTCAGAGAGAAAATTGCCAGTCTCCCATATTGGTACCTCTGATTTTATGCAGAAGTTTTTGCTGATTTGAATGGCATTACAAGTTATATCCTGATTCACACGAATAAATTTTTATCTGATTTGGTGATGCATGCTAAATACATCTAGAATTAATTATTAAGCATGCCTTTTTCTCTGAAGAGAGGAGCAACTAAAAAAGGGAATTTGTGTCAATACATTTACATGAGACTAGTATAGTTACAGCACATCAAGAAGGAGGTGCAGATAAACAAATTACAAGATGTACAAATTACCTCCTCCCAGATTCCAGTTCATCTAATGTCATGCTAGAATCATTTGGCCTAGATAATCCCATAAACTCAGTATTGTTCTGTTCAACTTGTTGGTTCACAGTCTCTACCCTCACAGCATGCACATTTAATGTGTTCACTGCATTGGTTGGTTGTTCACAGCCATTTAATTCTTCCAATGTCCTTAAGTATGCATAAGGCCTACAACCTGCAGGAGAAAAGGTTAAGAGGCTAACTAATTGAACCAAATCTTGGATTATTTTAGAACATCAGTAAACATATAAAATAATAGGCAAATTAATCCAGTATCTGAGTACTCATTACTCATCATCTTGGCTTCAACTATCTTTATACCAATTCCTTAATAAATAAATGTATTGTGTGCCAAAGGGTTATGGACATTCCCTAATAGAAAAGATCAATTTCTGTGACCATGAATTAGTTGCATATTGAGTTGTTCTCTAATTGGACAAAATAAGCAGTTTTATCAGCAAACATAAAAGCAGTGCTGTCAATGGGGTGATAGAATGGCTGACCAAAAACTAACTGTATTTGCTGCGAAGGATTTGACTAGTTGACTATATGTAATAAATGAAATAAAATAATTCAATCTCAAATATATGCTAATAAAGATTGTAAATCATGGGTTGAGGATTTGTTAAATTCTGAAAGGGGCCCAGCCCGATGCCTAGGCCTGATGAAGTGGCAATTCTTCAGACTGGTTAGCTACATTTCACAGCATTTAATAAACATACCAGTTTTGCAAACACAAAAAAGAAGGCTATTTATTGTTCAGAGGGAAAATATACTTGCCTGTTTGATGTGACCCCTTTATTTATGTAAATTTTTCAAACATACAAAGCAAATCAGAAAACCTACAAAAGCTCTTCCATTCTTCCCTTTTATTTTGCCTCATTTCTATTTTACATTCTCTCATCTAATCAATTGCCATCACAAATACTTGACAGAAAATGGCGTTTTCAAATAATTATATATAAACACATACAAGTAAAAAAAAATTAGAAAACAAATTGGTACTCAACCAGTTGTTGCTTAGTGGTCCTATGTGATTGAATCCTAGACAACGACTGACTGTTTAATGATGCAAGCAATATGGACCTTAACTGATGACCAGTTGACACACCAACAAAACCACCTCAAAACTAATGGGTCTAGTCATTGTATACCTCTTTAAACATGTTGATGATCCAAGCCAAATTCAACAACAGTTGTTAGCACTTGGCAATGTTAGAAAGGCACCATAAGAAAATAAATATCCAATTAGATGCAAAACTTGAAAATAGTTATTTTATTAAATACATTTTTGAATTATTTATGCCCCTTAATATTTATTTTATGACCATGTCCATATGCTGTAATTTCTAGAGATTTACATGCCTGATATATGTGGGAACATGAATACATGGCTGCAACCCATGCCAAGTAGCTAAGATGACAGCGGAAAATATCAATGCTCATCATAAGATCGGGCAAATACTCAATTATAACTGCAGGTTCAAGTTTGAGCTCTTTCAAAAGAAAGTGAGAAAACTACACTCCTTTTCAGAACTCACAAGAAAATCAATGACATCATTTTCCTCCTCTAGGTAGCATACTTATTTTTCTTTAGTGGGTGGAGGGGGGCTGAGATATAGAAATGCAGGTAAAGGACAGAATCTCCACACAAGAGAAATAAAGGCCCAGTTTGGCAATGTTCCCACCTGTTCCTGTTCTTTTAGAAATTCCTGTTCCAGAACAAGAATTTTATTTCTTGCTCTTCAGGAGTAACAAATACATTTGGAAAATTGTTCTTCAAGAACGAATTTTTGTTCTACAGGAACAGAAATAGTTTTTGGATAATGAAACTATTTTTTAACATCGGTTTTGCAAATCCACCAACATTCATAACCAAAGTGCCATTCTACTAGTCATTGTTACACTACCCATTTACCAAACCATGCAAAATAAACGGAAATCAAACTATATCCTAGGCCATCCTATTGAATCAGCTATTTGATTTGCAATTTCTCGTTGAAGTTCTACCATTTCCAGCACATTTTCTGCATTCACTTCATTATTGACCGCTGATGTCCATCATCTGGATCTTCTTCCACCTCAAGATTATCATTCCCATATTCATTAGAAAGATCATCATCAATCTTATCTCTCTTAATTTCATCTCAGACAAAATTGTGAATCACACATGCATGATGCAGCTACCACTATCTTGCACTGTGTTCTCAAAGAAAATGATGGCATGAGTTTTAAGATTAGAAATCTTGCTTTCAGCACACCAAAACACCGCTCTATACAGTTACACAAGCTTGAATGTCTGTAGTTAAACTCCTCTCTCGCACTCTTGGACGTCTTTGTCTTCGAAAGTCGGACAAGTGGTATCTCAGATGGCAGTAAAAACGATTAGAGATTGTTTAAACTCCACTAAGATTTGCAGCGGCAAGTTGGAGTTCACTATCGAACAAAAATGTTTGGTAGGGCTTCTTTCTATCATTTAGTGTGAAATACCCAAAATACCCCTTCTCTCATGTGGGAGTCGTTAACACGTGTTCGTTAATAGGGGTTAACGTTGTGGGAACCGCACATTCCTTGGGAACATGTTCTTTGGGAGCGTCGATTTTTTCACTCCCAAAGAATGCGTTCTTTGGGTGTTGCTCTCACATGGGAACACCTTTTTTTTTTGTTTTTCTTGTACCAAACACGTTTTTGCTCTGTGAGAACACTAGGAACGTGCAAAACGTTCTCGCAGAACGTTGCCAAACAGAGCAAAAGTTTTCAGATCAAGAACATAGATATATTTAGTTGACTCACTTTGTTAGGATTAGAAAAAATGGTGAAGTGGGATGACAACTATAAGAATGGCAATGGGGTGGGAACCCTATTCCCTAGCACTAACTCCGACTTTGAAACAAATCTCCATCCATGATCCCCGATGGAGATGGGTTCCCATTGGGGACTTGAATCCCCAAAGTTTTTAAATTAAAATTACTTTTAAAAAATAGATTTACTTAATATAAGAGATTTTTTTTTAAATATAATATAAATAATATTATATATGTATATATTTAATATATACATATATGTTTAATATAAGTTGGGTTGGGGTGGGGCAGGGAATTCACTTCCCATCCCGGTCCCTGTCCCTGTCCCAGATCAGGTATCACCATCAATCCCCATCCCCACCAAGGCAATGGGGGGGGGGGGAGGGGAGGGGTCGAGGAATCTGGGTACCTGATAGGGACGGGTGAAATTGCCATCCCTAGGCAACTATTAATTGAAGAAAGTCATACATGTAATTAGAAAATCAACTTATGCATACAAACAATCTTAGGAAAAGACAACTTAAAATGATCAAATAACACAGGAACTAGTGAGGACATACTATCATGGAAAACTAAATGCTGGAAATAAAAATCTGGAAGACTGGAACTGCTTGGGCTTCTTAAGTGCATACACTATAAGTTTGTCTCATGTTTAGATGGCCTAAAAATGAAACTTTTGAAACAACAAAACTAACAAGACTCATCTAAGTAGAACAATTTATGATCAAATTTATGCAGATAATAGTAATAATACGTAATGGAAAGACCAAGAGTATCTAATTTGTAACATCTATGCAGCTAGAGATCTGTGAACAAGTCATGGTCAAATATGTGGATCCAAATGAGTATGAATATTAGAAAGACACAATACAATAAAAATGCCAAAGGATAAACATAGTAATATCCTTGCTGTTATTTTCATTTAATATCATGTATTTTGCTTAACTTTCCTATTTTAAAACATATCATTATTTTAGAAAAATGAGGAATAACGAAAATTTGGTAATAAAAGTAGCTTTTGTTTCTTCCCAAGCACAAAACAGGTGCCTCTTTTATTGACAAACACACTCAAAAAGCATCCAATGCTGAACAATGACCCATTTTACACTTGACTGACTTTTCTTTGAAAATTCAACTAATACTTCACATCTAGACAAACAGTAAGGCCTTGTTTACTTGTAGTGAAACTTCATTTCTAATGCACTGGTGCAACAGTATGGGAATGCAAATGAGTTGAGTGAAAATTCTGGTTTACTTTCATTTAGGTCCTACTTGTTTCATTTTTTTTCAATGTAGAGAAAATAAAGTAAAATCTGAAGCGAAAGTAAACCAGAATTTACAGTCTTGTTGTTTATACTCCCATGCATTTGTACTAGTGCAAATGGAATTGCACCAAAAACAAATGGAACCTAAAAGGTTAGAGAGCATTCACATGAGTATCAATGTCTTCATTTTCCTAAATTAAGAAAGTTAGCTATTAGAAATTCCTTAAAAGTTCCTATACTTTGAGTTCACATAACTTCTAATTAACATTGTTCTACAGTAAGGAACACCTCTAGCCATTTGAATTCATGGTATGAACACTTTCGTCGTCGTTCATGTGGAATAATGTGTAGGACCCACATATGTGGTAATTCCTCTTTAATGGTGATTGTAGTTCTGTATTACTATGAACTCATACCACATAACTTGCAATTATTGTTAGTGTATGCCCTTAGCTCCAATTAGATTGATGTACATAAAACATTATTAGTGAATGAATAAAGTACATAATTGTTTCATGTTCTAATTGGTATGTTTTATGTGAAATACTCCTTAGGTTGGACACTTATGAGACTCGTGTTAGTTTAGAATGTTCTCAACCATTGGATAGACTTGGGGAGTTTATCCTAACAAGGTTGACAATGGTGTGCTGCCGAACTGGTGGAGCAGCTTGTCTCAACTGCTAGGGTTAGACCCCAAGCACATCTAGTGGGTGTTTAAAAGAAAATTGAACCCAAACCAATTTCCAGTTATGCCCTAGACCTTGGAGATAGATGGGAAAATTTGGAAAGTTGCACTTAACCCCGTACTTGATGTGCCAACCAGTGAGATCCATCAAGGGTCAAATACCTGGGCATGCTGGAACAGTTTGGGAAATTACTTGAGTGGGTGATCATAGTGATTTGATCACCCCATTGTCAGACAAAGTGAATATCAAGCTTTACACTTTCTGATGGAAACCTAAATTGCCGGTAGTGGATTTTAACTATGTTTGAAATCTGCAAAATGTATCTATATGTTATATTACTATTTTATGAAAAAGGTTTGCAAAATGTTTTAATCCCAGGATCCATCCGAGCAGAGAGTGTGACACTATGTTTTGCAGTCAGGGAAAATGTCCTTCCTTGTGGGTAGTGTTCTGATGATTATGGGTTGAGAGGTTAGGTGTAAGAGACCATTACAGGGCTAATTACCTGATGAGATTTACCATACATAAGTCTATTATCCTTGGGTCTTCATAGAGTGGCTGAATTCAATGATCATTTAGGTGTAAATGTTGGGCTCAAACTAAGCCCAAGTTGATTGGGTCAGGGGTTCACTATCTCAAGCAGTGAATTTGGCCTAACCTCTTCCAGAAGTAGGGCTGAACCTATATGGACTTGTGAGAGACTTTTATGGGTCCCACACCATACAATATTTAGGCCCAAAGTGGTCATGCAACACCTTAGGACATGAACCATTAGAGAAAATGGGCATAAGGCCCATTACTAATAAGTTGTCATGTGACTTGGGTTGAAAATGGGCATGGATTTGGATATGGAACATTATCCTCTTAAGAGGATAACTCTTATCAATTAAAGATAGAGTCTTGATCCAAATTTGATTTGGATAAACTCCTAATTAGATTAGGAGAGTGTTCTATATAAAGGAGAAATGGGGGAGAGTCCAATTCAGCTAATTCTCTCCACTCTCTTGTTCTCTCATCTTCTCCCTTGCTTCCCAGAAACCCTAATTCGATCCAGCATTGTTAGGGACTGATTTCTATCAGCCCTCGATTGTGTTTTTGCAAGAAAAACATCAGGGCATATCAGGTTCACAAAGCCAATTCGATCCAAGCAAGTTGGAGAACAATTTTTGCTGAAACAGTGTTATTGAATCAACTTTGCATACACACTATGCCATCTTTAGTTTGAGGCCGATTTTGGGACTGATATTGGGTGTGAACTACCACTCTGGGAGTTGCGTTTTTGTGGTCTCCGTATCAGGTGTGATCAGTTTTAATTTTGGCTTCAAATCTGGTCCAGTTCAATGCAAGATCGATTCCGAAATTTCAGATTTCAAAATCATCGAGATATTAGTTACTAGGTTGGGTTAGAAAATTTTTGAAAATTCAACCTGGTTTGGCCATGTCAAATCTGATTTCTAACCCTTCCAAGAATTATAACCAGCATTTATCACAAAAAGTTACACATGAGAAATCTTTGGGTCATAAACTAATATCGTGGCCTGAATGCACATTTATGGTTTTTAAGAAGATAGTATAGATATATATTGGCTGTTTATATTGGCTCTAGAGAAGATGGGAATATGATCAAATCTGCATAACATAAATGAGTGAATTCATGATAGTAAGTAGCTCTATGGACTGAAGACAGATAAATAAGTAGTTATCCAGAAAGATTATGTTGATTAATGTAGAAAAGTTCAAAAATGTTACCATCAGTATGATATGGGGGTGGGAAGAACTGCAAATAGCAAAACGTTGCCACTGAGAGGCCTACAGAGATTTAGCAAACAAAAGTGATGAGGTAAGCACAAAAATACATTAGCAAGCAGCTTTAGATACACTTTGATGACAAACCATACTATTACAAAGTACAAACCTAGGATGCCTCCAGCAAAAACATCCTGCCAATGGTGCCAATAGTCATCGACTCGAGAAATGCCAACAAGAGAAGCCGCAAGCAGAGGAAGAAAAAGTATGCATAGTTTTGCCACATGGCCCCTACGGTCAAATGCTTTTATCTTGCCTGATAAGTACAATGACAAAAAACCAAGACCTGCAAAAGACCCTGAAAGGGAATTTGAAATCTTTGAAACTTGTATCTTTACAAATTGGAGGTGGAGAGACTATAGATGAATACTGCACAAGGAGCTGTTTGAGACAATAACTAAAAAATAATGTGAAAATGAGAAACAACAACAACTACTAATATTTGCATTTTTTTTCTGATTTAGAAGCCTATATTAGTTGTGATCAGTATATGATAAGAGATTAATTGTTGATAAAATCATGTGTATATCTGAATAAAGAAAACATCAGTTTGAAGGGTTAAAGATACTCTGTATATTCTAATTAAAAAGCATCCATTTATCAGTAAATATGTAATCTTTTTCCAATGTCAACTTAAACTAGAAAGCCACATGGCTAAAGCAGTACAGGTCCATGAAGTTTGATGCTTACATGAAGTATGACCACTAGGAAAGCTCTTATGCCCTTCCTTTATAACACTGGCTTTTCCATGACAAATTACATTTCCCAATTCATTGTAGACCTAAGAAAATTAAATATTAGGAAATGCTCTTATCACGTACTCAAAGTGTGAGCTAAAATAAAACTTACTGCCAAAACACATACACACAAAAGATTAACAATGCCAAGTATAAGAGAATTTGTAGTTTAGAGAAGCATACATCCTTTCCATCAGGAAAACAACGCCAGAAGAAGTCTGGTCGAGGCCGACCAACTGCATTTTTTATTGCATCCGTGATAACCCCAGTTATCAACACGGAGAATAATAGCCCTGCTCTTGCAGAGTTTGCATCACCAAATTGACTATTATAAATGGTTACACTAAGAAAGGTATTATTAATAATGAAGATGAGAAAAATGGTACCTAATATGCTATTGTGCAGATCATAAACATCTCTCCTATGAAAATAGAAGGTAGTAAATATGGCAATGGGCAACAACACTGCATACATCTGGTCATCGAGGAAAGAATGGATATAGGAAATTGTCAGAATGGATATAGGGAACTGTATATCAATTCATACTATATTTACTATACTAAAGAATACAGATAAACTTACAGGAACAGCCCAAACAGGAACTGTATTGTCTTTCAGTGGATATTTGAGATCATCCATCATATCCTTCCCCACAAAGCGGTAAAATGGATGAATGACGTACAGAGTGATCTCTATCACTACAAGAAGCAACAAAATAATCCAGTCATGCCTGTGGAACTTTGCAACTTCGTATCCATGGGATTGTACAGTATGGGCACCAAGCTGGATCTCCCTCACTCTCTCCTGTTAGAACACAGTATCATGCCAAACAGGTCTCTATGAGAAGGAGAAAAGTTCTGCTAGGATATATGTGGTGACCAGTGGATAAAGAATAACTCAGATATTATATAAGGGAAATAAAGGAGAAATAGAAGGGTTTCAAATCTGAAATATAAAAGAAAATGGAAAAATGAAAAGAGGGTGCATGTCAGTATAACTTATTCAAATTCTTAACCCATAATCAAAGCTCTCTACCAGAGAATTTAAAAAGTGCATATTTATAAAGTCTAGGAAGACAGATGCCCAACTCCTTTTCCTATTTCAAATAAGACTCAAAGAAAATAGGAATTATAAACTCAATCCTATACCCATTGATAACCTGCTAATAAAATGGTCATAACTTTCTTAATCACATTGGATTCTCAAGATCTTGTTGGCCTCTTGGATAGGTAACTTAAAACCTTTCAAAAGACGCTGAAACCAAGAAAAGAGACAAAGTTTTGGCTCCTGAAAAACAACCTTAAAGAAATAATTCCAATTTAAGATCCAAGAGAATTTTGTGGACTGCACAAGTGACCAGACAGCCATTAGATACTTCCTTCAACTTCTAGACACTCTAAAAGCCAGTCAAACTGAATAGTACCTACCACAAATAAAATTAAAAAATCTCTAAAATATAGAAATTATTAAAAAATTACAAAATTACCTCTCTACAACCCCAAACATTGTAGTTCAATAACTTTACACTAATCATCTTATTTCCACATTTTAGGTGTCCTTTAAAGACCGTCTAGGATGGTGGGGCACATAAGAGACTTGTGAGCCCCACACATGGAATACCAAAATTTTCACAGGGAAGCTCCAAGCCACAAATCAGTTTCTTTTCTTATCAAGACCTAACAGAATCCTTGAAGCCAAGTTTAACAATGCTTTTTCCTAAATATGACATCCATTTGAAAGAGAACGCTACTACTAGGGGTTATGATAGACCGTTGTTTTAGATTTTTCTATTTTCAAATACAATTTGAGTATTTGACCAAGATTGTACATTTCAAATGTTAACACAGGGCAATTATTTTAACTTATTGAGTTCTCACAAAATCAATTTAAAGTCTTGCCATTGAACTCATGGGTCTGGTTGAACCAGTAACACCATCTGAATTCTGTAATTAGTTGGGTTCAGCTGTGATTCCTGTTTTTCTTTCCTAGTTTACTTGTAAGATTCAAGGAGGGACTTCAGCTTGCGCCTCTCCCTGGGATGTTGTATGAATTCACTCTAAATCAGCTTCTGAATTAATAAAAAAAAACTGAATTCTGTAATTCCAATCTCATGTTTGTTGGTTTGTTAATAAATTCCATTGCAACATAATGGAACTGAATTTGATATCCTGAGAAGGTCTACATTTTTTAATTTTTCAAAGAAATTTAAGTCTCATATGTGACAGAGTAGGGTCACTATGGTTAGATTAAGTTTGTGACTTATTCAAAAAACAGAGTTCTGTTGGTATTGTTGAATAAGGCTACTAGAGAGATGATGACAAAATATATAAGAGTAAATTAGGGGTGCTATATCCTAGTGGGGTGACTAAGAGAAATAAGCAAGATGGCTTTCTGATTGTGCATAGTTTTCAAAACACTAGACTTCTGTATGGATTTGATTTGAGGGACGAATTTCTTCTTATGCTAGTAAAGATTTCAGATCTGAACATGAACTAACAAGAAGCCACTAGGTTGTGAAAGATGAATTCTATGACCAAGAAATCATAAAACTCAAACTACTTAAAAGAAACTCTTTTAATTCATCATTCAATCCTAGTTATAAATTCATGTAACGGATACATAAGCTCTCTGCTTGTAGCCATAGCTTCTTAGGATTAATAAATAAGTAACTAATTTATTATCTACGAGATTGAAACCAGGGATTTGTCTGAAATCTGAATATTTAACAGCTAAACTAAAATGAATCAAGGATTGGTCTTCATAACAAGTAATTTCTGAAATCAACTAGCTATTATGTTTCATCAGAAGGTTGTATGGCTGTTCAGCTTCCAGCAGATTCTTATGTTTATTGCAAATTAATTTAATGGAATCCATGATCTGGTTTCAGCTTCTTTCAGTTTCTCCAGGACTTTAGCTCAGTACATATCTCTAAGTCAAGCTGCACCAAGTTAAAGCCCAAGTATTGTTGTTCTCTAATTTATTTGCTGACAGAGTTACAATGGATCATCCGGTCAAATTAATGCTTAGTCCCTTAGATTAGACCTATAAGTCCACCACCTCTTTTGGTTTAAGCTTGACAGTATCAGCAATCATTCCTCTAACAACTTTCTAAGGCTTCTCGAAGACATAAATATATGTCACACGACCATAAATAGCTCCTTGTAATCGGAACCATTGTCATCCTCCAGATAATAACCCCAGAAACAACAGCGTATGCCACACATTTTGGGTTAAAACAAGGTGATAAATGCCTTTTAAGTTACTGTAACCAAACCCTTAGAATCATATTTTTGTTTGGGATGAACTCTGTTTCCATGTAAAAGGGATAGAAACCGAAGTTTTCTCAATAAAGAGGCAGAAATATAACGGAAATAATACATATTGAGAATTCAACATGTTCTTTATAGATCCTTAACCGTTCTCAACTCCTTTCATTTCATAAAAATCACTTATAAACGACACGGATACTTCCTAAATCTGCATGGCTAAATATCCAGAAGGCACAAGCAAAACAAATAAGACTGTGAGTGCCAAACTTCATGTTGTACAAAATTTTCAAGTAGTTCTAAAAGACCAACTATATCAAAGTCCAAAGTCAAGAGCAGGGAAGGGGCATAGCGTCCCAACATCGACGGACACTCAGATTCTCATAGGTCAAGAACTTGTCATTTGCCATCTGTACATGTACACCAAACAAGACAAATCCATAAATTCCAACAAAGAAGCGGAGTTGCAGACACAGACAATATTTTATTCCTCCCATATCAAGCAACATCACCACACAAACCATACATATATTATAAACCTACTGGTTAAGAGCAAGGATCCAACCAACCTGGCGGGTGCCACTGGGATTCTTAAAGAAAGAAAGAGAAACTATGTTCCTCCAAGTCCAGGACATCGTCATGAGCATAAACGAACAAAATTACTGACCTGAAAACACTGTTAGCACTCTCAGAAGTCAGAGGCAATAAAGATAAGCCTGCCAAAGAAAAGAAAGTCAAACACTACATACCTATAGAAAACAGAAGCAAAAGATAATGGAGGAAAGCGAACTAATAATTTAGCACCAACCAATCAAGATGCAAATCCTATCCAGGACAAATGCGACTTAGGAAGTAGTAAAATCGATGAAAGCGATGATATGAGAGAATAAAAAAAAAACACAGTAAATAAGATGAATGACAGAAGGAAAAGCAAGCAAGTTGTTGTGTGGGTTACTTGAAAATTCCTGATCAGGAACTGCAAGACTTTAACTGTCGGCCTCGGACCCAAGATTTATACAGAGAGGGAGGAGAGGTTGGATTGGAGGAATGGCGGGTTGAACAGTAGGAGTTACCACGTTGGATGTTGGAATTCGATGATTGGCGCTGCGACGGTTTTGTTTTGCGTCTCGGATCACCGTTAACTTTCATATCAAGGATGGCTCTGTGGTCCTCTCCTTCATTTAGCAGGCTATCTTTACGGGGTGGTTGATTGTGGCTGCTGACATCGATAACCGCTTGATTAAAACTGGTGCATAAGGAAAAAAAAAAAGTTTCGGAGAAATACGGACAGGCACAATGCAGATTTCACATTCAAAATGTCTAATCTCTACCCTATCGATTATACACAGTCAAAACTCGACAGCTTATGACGGAAAGTACACCCGTAAGTCTCTTAAACCTTAATTGATCAAAAGTACCTTCATTTTTTATAAAGAAAACAAATTAATGGAAAATCATTTCATTAGCATAGAAAAAAGTTTTCGTTTGACATGAATATCTCTCTTCAATTATCCACTCCTTTTTCCAACAAATCAAGAAAAACCAAAATGAATCCATAAATTTATATTTATCATAAGCAAACTTTTACTATTTCATTAATATTGAATTCAGTCACAAATCTGCAAGGATGTATTGGAGCAACCAAGTGGACTTGAACATTGTATTTTGAAAATTAATCAAATAATAAATCGTTCAAATAAATAGATAAATGTAGTTTGAAAATTTAAAAATTTTTAAATAATTGAATAAAAATACATTTGAAAATTGACATGACTCTAAGGGAGAAAGGTATTATCACAAAGTGAAAGTTTAGGGGGTTTTGTGGAAAATGAAAGTTGAGGCGGTATTTGTCATTAATCCTATAGTAAATTTATTTATTTGGGCAAAATACAAAAACCTCCTTAAAGTTTATGAAAATAATTAAAAACTTCCCCTTTAGTTTTATTTTAACAAAAATCTCACTTGAACTTTTAAAGAAATTGACAAAAACCTCCCTTCCATCAGTGACCCAAACGAAAATTGTTAGACCAATGCATCAATATTTTTCTAAATACCCATTTTACCCTTTTGTAAATTTATCTCTCTATTTTCCCTCTCTCTCTCTCTAGGAGTCAAGCTATTTCTTTACACTTTGACTCGTTGTCTCCCCAACTTCAAAAGCCACGCTCCCCCATCTAGGGGTGATCATTTCAACCCAATTTGCCCTGGCCCTGAAATTCTGAGCTTGGGCTTGGGTTTTGTGTTCAGGCTCGGCCCGAGCCTGGGCCCACATCAAGCCCGCAAATTTTAGGCCGAGCTTGGGCTTAATACTTCAAGCCTGGCCCGGCCTGCATACATTTAAACTTACATATTTTGTGTATAATGTATACATACATATGTTATTTTACATTATATTATATATTTTATATATAAATATTATAACATGACATATATAATTTATATTATATGTAATATTTTATATTATATAATATATAAAATAAAAGTTTATATGCATGTTATGTCATTTAATATAAAATATTATACATTTGTAATGTTTTATATATGAAAGACATTGGTGAAGAATCAGGCCCGGCCCCGCCTGGGCTCGTGTAGACTTGGGCTAGGGCTTATGTTATAGGCCCAAAACCAGGCTTAAGCTCTCATATCTAGTATTCAGAGTTTGCCTCGATTTGGTACCGCCGGGATATCTTATCTGTTTCTCCAGGAAAATGGATATCTCCAGGAAAGATTTTCAATTCAATCTTTTTTTTTTTTCTCTCCACTCGGACCAATCCGCCTACTCGGCTTCTTGTATTTAAAGTGATTCGTGTATCTACTCCAATGAYACTATTGTTTCRTACCAGTATGGAAGAAGACCCGGGTAAGATATGCACTTCCTCGGGAATGAAAAAAAATCGATCTACTTTCTTTTGGTATTTTGGCCTAAATTCTTTTGCCTTATCATAAGTGCAAAGCCCAGCCCGGGCCATGATCACCCCTACTCCCATCCCCCACCTCTCTCTCTCTCTCTCTCTAGGAGTCAACTGATGTTGTTTCTTTACATCATGGTTTTTAAAACCAAATCAGACAAAAAATCATTCAGGAGTCCAGTTCTCAAGTAGAACAATCTGACCATTTGAATCGAACGGACAACCCATTCTGACAAAAAAATTAAAAAAAAAAACGGTCAAAAACCACTGAATGGTTTGAACGGTTCAAACGATTCGACCGCCCAAGTCAGCGATTTGTTGACCAAATCAACAGTTTTTGGCCAAAATGACGATTCTAGGGTAAACCATGCTTTACACTTTGATTCATTTGCTCCCCAACTTCAATACCCATGCTCCCCCATCTCCCACTTCTCTCTCTCTCACTACTTACGACTAATCCAGTATCTAGAAATGGCTCGATAGTGCCCAAAGTAGAGAAACGTTATTTGTTACAGTAGGTTTCGCACCCATTGGAGCGCCACTAATGACTTGCGGAAACTTAAATTAGGGTTTCAACATATGGTTTCCCATCGTTTTAGGGTTTCATTCACCCTCTACAATTGTTGCTGTTGAAACAACCAAACGATTGCAATATTGAAGCAGAAAACAGAAGAACAGTTAATAGTCTTAAGTCAGGATTTTCAAATACTTGAACTAGTAGCACCTAAAAATGGCTCCAACAATCGTTTATCTTTTTCAAAATAGAAATTTCCCCTCATGACTCATGAGTGCGTCCCTATTCCCATCTGCTCCTCCCCTCTCTTTATTATAACTTTCTTATTGAGATTTCAAAAATCAGAACAGAGAATCCTCCCGTTCTCCTTCCTTGAAATTAAGAATGAAAATCATAAAAAACAAAATTTCAATTTCTCCTCCAAAAAGAAGCCAAAAAGCTTCCACTACCCACCATTACATAGGGTTAACTTTGGTTGTTGGGGCCCAACAACATAGGCTGTTGAGACAGTTTCTGGGCTGGGCCCGTTTTGGGCAGTTCACCTATTCATGCCCATGCTTTGGTTTTTAGTCAAAATAAATTAAGATGTAATTATTAATTTATCCATTCTCATGGTAACGTGGCATTTTCAGAAATTCTCTCAACAGTATAGGCTATTGGCCTCCAACAGCTAAAGTTTTTCCCCGTTACATATATCTCTCCCTCTCTCCTCGTTTCATTATCTCTCCTACTCTCGTTTTTCCCGAACAACAACAATGAATGTCATCTCCCTCTGTGAATAAAACAACAAAGAGAGCATCCCTCCTTTCTTTGCCAACCAAATTAGCCAAATTCATGAAATCAATCCCTTTTTCACCAATAAAAAATGAGGAGGATGAAAAGGCCTCTCGAGAACATTACCCATCTCATATGTCCATTAGTTTGATGCAGTGGTTGTTGATATTGACACCTCCAACTAAAGCGTAGGCTTAGTTTGGAAAGAGGATAAATACAAATATGTAACAAGATTTAGAAATACAAAATATATGTTTTTGTATTTTAAGGCTTAGTTTGGAAAGAATATAAATATAAATATGTATAGTACAAATAAATATAAAATAATATAAATACTGAGCCTTACTACAAAAATTGAAGAAATCACGTACACCCCTTGCATAAAAGCAATTTAAACTAATGTTTTCAACTCACTGTTGACCTGATTGTTCAAACCATTTGAACCATCATTCAAATAAGATTTTGGGTCCAGTTCAGTCAAAACCTGTTAGACAGTCAAAAACCGTTGACTTGGTCAAGAACCATTTGACTTGGCCGGTTTGACTGTTAATCCATTCGACTCGGTGACCAGGACACGAGTTGTACACTCAATGCATGCAAACTTTCGAAGGCCATAGTTTTGCAATCTGATGTCTAATTGGGGTGATTCTTTTTTTATTTTGGGCAACTTTTCGAGACCTATGTGCCCCCTACTATTTTCATGAAAAAAACCCTTTTCTAGCCTCAAATTTTAAATTTTAATATTTTTATAAATAAAAAATTAAAAACTGAATTAAAAAACATAAATTAAATATAAAATAATACATATAACATATCTAAAACATATTTATACATTATTTATTGCTAATATATATATCTATACTACTTATAAAAGTGTGAATGAGGAGGTATTGGCTTCTATAGTTTTTCTTTACTGAAATACCCCTCCCCTTGAATTTAGTTCATCTCCACTGAAAGGGTAGAAAATGTAATTAAAAGAATATCATTAAGTACATTCAATTACCTCTCATTAAGTCTCACATTTAAGTCATTAAATAAATCACATTCTCTCTCATTGAATCCAACATTTATATTTTTGTTTATCATCATTAAATTCCACTAAGAAATCCATACATAATAATTATTAATATAATGGAATTTTGTATTTTTAAAATAAACATAGAAATGAAATTATATTTTTCATCTAGGTGGTAGGTAAGTAGTTCTACAATTTGGGTCAAATGGATGATTTCATGATGTCATAAATAAATAATACAAATTTAGAAATATAAAAAATACTTTTGTTTATCATCATTAAATTCCACTAATAAATCCATACACAATAATTATTAATAGAATGAAATTTTATATTTTTAAAATAAACCTAGAAATGAAATCATATTTTGCATATAGGTCGTGGGTAAGTAGTTCAACCATTTGGGTCAAATAATTTCATGATGTTATAAATAAATAATACAAATTTAGGAATATAAGAAATACAAAAAATATAGAAAAAAAATGAACACATTTCTATTATTATATATTTGTCATATTAAAAAATAACTATGATAAAATAGACATAATTTTATTAATGATGGACATCAAATATACAATTTAAACCGATGGGAAATTATACCATCTTCCTATCTAGGGGGTGGGCTAGTGGTTCAACCTTTCAGGTCAAATAGGTTAACCCATATGATGTATAATTAAAAATATTTTTTAAAATAGAATAGTACAAAAAATATGAAATAATTTTGGGCACATCTATAATATTATATATTAATAATATAAACAAAAATAAGTATGATAAATAATAATTATTTTATCAATGATAAATGAAATGCATAATTTCAAACCAGTTTGAAAATGAAACCATTTCCATATCTAGATGGTAGGTAGGTTAACGATCTAACATTCCAGGTCAAATGGGTCAATCTACGATGTCATAACTAAGTAACGAATATTACATACATACATACATACATACAAATATATATATATAAGCTCAAAGAAAAACATAAGTTTTGTATAAAACATTTTGATACAATTCTATTTTTATATATTCACCATATTAAACAAAAATAAATGTGAAAATAAGAATTACTTTTACCAATGATGAAAATGGAATA